TTGTCCAAATTTTGAGTGTTACCTATTTTCATGCCTTAATTTCACAAGCATGCATTGTTAATTCAATTAACAAAGGACACTTTATACTAATTTTGCAGTGGCACTATTGTATTCATGTGCCACATTCATTTGATAGGGGCATACAATTTAGCTCAGTTCTCACACCACTTTTATACCCTGCAATCTCCATGAAAGAGTTAAAATTGTCGTGTGATATAGCCATTTTGCTCTATCTGGATTAGTGTCTAAGTGCAGTAATGGCAGAGAATATTGGACACTTAATGGCTATTATCATGATTATAATGTGCATACTTTAGCAGTAACCAAAATTCTCCATTATGAATTGAACTATAATCTCTACTTATTAGTTCACGGGTTTAATTTTCCAGCTTTATTGAGAACAGGCTTAATTCTTACAGGATCTGGTTAACCTTGTTGAGTGTTAGCTCTAGCCAGCAGAAAGTGCTCATCATAGTTATTAGGAAAGAACAAGATAGATCAATATATGGCATGGCCAAAAGTAGGTTTACAGTTGTGAGTACCTGAAACAGAGCTTATTCTTATATTATCCCATATAATAAAACCCCAATACGCAAATGGACTGAACGGCGGAACGACCGTTCGCTATGATGCGCACTGACCACCTCGGGAGACACTCAATGCAGGAGCTGCCCCCTGGTGGTCAGTGCGCTCCCACAAGGGGAGTGCCGCTCAGCCAGAAGCTGGGCTCACAGCTGGTGAGCGCAGCGGTGGTGGCAGGAGCCTCCCTTGCCTCCTCTGTAGGCGGGCAGTAAGGAGCGAGGGGTCCTGGACTGCGTGAGCCCCGGACTGTGAGAGGGATGTCCGACTGCTGGCTTAGGCCTGCTCCCTGTGGGGTCCTGGATTGCAAGAGGGCACCGGCTGGGCTGAGGGACACCCCCCCCCCCTGCACAAATGTCAAGCACCGGGCCTCTAGTCTATACATATAAAAGCCTAAGTGATAGTTATGACCAGACAGTAACTATGGTGCACACTGATCACCAGGGGAGAGACGCTCAACGCAGGAGCTGCCCCCTGGTGGTCAGTGCGCTCCCACAGCCAACCTCTCATGGCCAGCCAACCTCCCGCGGTCCCTCCCTCCAGCCGGCCGGTCCCAATTGGGACTGGGTGAGATGGCCCCCATCGACCCTGATTGCCAGCCAGGCCGAGGGACTCCACCCATGCACGAATTCGTGCACCGGGCCTCTAGTTATTTATATTGTTGTATTATTTGTATTATAACTGTAAACCTATTTTTGCCCACCCCTCTATATCATCACTACTGGAGGAGGGAACAATCCCACAGTAAGTCTGAGTCAGAACAGTCCTACTGACTGTGAATTGGAATGACCTTTATTATGGACAACCTACTGCATTTGAGTAGAAGTCTACAATGAAAGTAAAATGTGTTAAGATTTAACACTATTTCAAGGCAGTTTTAATTCTAACAATAGGAGCCTATATACCAGATAACTGAAATATTTGCAGGCCCTCTTTACCAGAATAGAATTTTTAGTTATTCAGGAAAAACCATTATAACATATCTTACCACTAAAAGTGAGGTTTATTTCTTCAGAATAAATATAACATAGTTTTCCATATTGGAAATAAATCAGGACACATTGAATAAGTGCTGTAAAAAAATAAAGTTTAACAACTGAAATCATAAATGCCTTTATCTAAACAAATCCGTTAGTATGAAGACCAGATAGTTTGATGATTTGTAAGAAATATATAACTGCATGTGATCAAAGCTTGATTAATATAAAGGGTGTCCCAAAAATATATACACACTTTGAATAATTATTAATTCCAATGGGTTAAATCTGAAAAGAAACATCAATTGAGCTATCAGCGGTTAAAGTGTGTGTGTGTGTGTGTGTGTGTGTGTATATATATATATATATCCTGCATATTTGTCATCATTTTTGGGTACTGTAACATGCATTTTGTAACTTTTTCTTATCAATGTATAGAAGTAATCACTTATTAAAATGGCCTGTTTTCTTCTGAATAAAACTAATTATATAAACTACATCAAAATTTCTACCACTTATAATTTTAAAAGCCAAAAACAAAATTTGCTAAAATTAAACTCTCCTATTTTATAGTTGAAAAATGTTTACTTAAAAATGGAGGAAAAAATTTAGTACCAGAAAGAGCAACCCTATCAAATTATTTAAATTATAGAAGCAGAGTCCTAGCTTTTATAGCAAAGCAGTCAAAGAAAATAAAATATTGCAAGTTGAATGTAATCATTAGTTTTCTTTTGGTAAACCTTTAACATGTTCTAAAATCCTCTTTATAACACTATTTTGATCGTGGAAAATCATCTTGGGTATAGCGCATTTGAAAGCACTGTGAGTACAAGTATAACTGCTGCTTTATTTCCTAAAAGCTTCTCTAGTTTAACATTTCACAAATTACAAATTGAGATTTCCGACTTTTGAGTATATAAGGAAACTGTGATGTTGTACCTGAGTCTGCCATAGCAGAGCACAACCTCCTGCTAAGACTGGTCAACTCAGCTGAGGATTTGACATGCTTGCCACAAACTGCTATAACCATAAAAAAGTGGATGTTATTTCTTGTATAATATTGCTCCATGCACCTAAAGCAGGCTTTAAAGACTTAGTTTGATGTTCTACTACCTTTCAACTATCTCTGTAGTTGATTTCATGTGCATAAACATGCCACACAGGCGGCCATTCATCCTTTACAGCCTACAGGGTGCATCAGGCCTTGGATGCCACCGAGCAGCTCAGAGAAATGTCTCAAACACGTAAAATGTTTCCAAGAGCCTCATTTCTGTGCTTCGTAGTGTCATCATTTTCCTTAGAAATGTGCATATGGGAAACATCTGATTTCACAGGATTATTTGTGTTCCCCTAGGGACTTGGCTCCTCTTAATTTGGCAGTGTGGAAAGGAAGTGGGCAGTGAGTACCGACTGAACAGCAGAGGAGGCACTTGTAACTAGAAAGATACTGTCAGCCAAGGATGATAGTGGTTGGGCAAAAAGTAAAAAGCACCAGAATTCTCAACTGCATCAGTACATTAGTCCAGTGCATTTCACCCCTAAAGACCACTGTAACTTCCATGGAGTCTAGGCCAGCAGGTGTGGGGCAGGGCCCGAGACCCTGCATTTCTAACAAACTCCCAGGACAGGCAGCTCATACTGGTTCCTGAGCCAGCAGTGAGTAGTGTGATGAAGTATGTGCATATTTGAACATTCTGTGAAGTTTATGTGTGTTTATTATGCTCAGTGTACCTTGTTGGCTAAGCCCTAGGCATGTATTACTCAGAAAATTTCCACCAAACTTGGTTACAAATCATTTTGCCCTTTAAAGGAGTAACACTTCAGTTACCTGTATAATTTACAAAAGAACATTTTACTCCTTGATGAATCCATAAAAATACAGCCTATTTTTATGCTGTGTATAGTCTTATTTTATCCTTTTTCCCCCCTCACAGGGCAATGCACAATTAGGTTGTTTTTAAATGCAATGAGTATCACATAAAATTGACAGTAACAACAGTAACATTCTTCTATTGTCACTTTAGGTTTTTAACTTTCTCTGAAACCTTTTTTTTTGGTATTTATTCAACATTCATCAATAACAATTTTAGAGCATATACTAAGAGCCAAGCACTGTCATATCCTGATCTGCTTATATCTAGGATTTTCAGCAACTTCAAAACATTTAGCAAGTTGTTAAAAATGGAGGAAAAACTCTGTTTGAACAAATAAACAAACCTTTCCCTTTAATAGCATTATTTCAGAAACTGCCAATTATCATCTGTGAACCCAAACTCAGTAATCAGCAACTGTGGCAACACAGTGGAAATCTCGATAACAAGTCAGTGGTTTCATGAGTATGTGAGTTTATTTTTCAATCCTCACCCAAGGATACATTTTTCCATTGATTTTCAGAGTAGAGAGGAGGGGGAGAGAGAGAAAGAGAGAAACATCGATGTGTCTTGGTTGCCTCCCAGGTAGGGGATCCAGCCTGCAACTGAGATACGTGCCCTTGACTGGAATTGAACCCAGGACCCCTCAGTCTGAGGGCCGACACACTATCCACTGAGCCAAACCGGCTAGAGTGAGTATGTGAGTTTATTGCTACAATTCAAGTCATCCTAGCTGAGGACAGCCTGGCTCATTCACACATGTGCATCCCAAACTACAAACATAAGAATAATGAACGCTTGGACCCACACTCAGTTCTCTCGTTGACTATACATTTGTCAGAAGACCACAGACTAATGTGTATATTTTTCTTATAAAGAATTGTCTTAATTCTATTCCCCTTTATGAAATAAAGGCTCCTTGAAAAATATGAAGGGTTCGGGAAGCAAATGCCTTGGAAGTTAAGCCACCATGTTCTTTTAAAATGACCATCTTCTAGTTTAGCAGAATGCAAGTAGGACTGATCAATGACGTTCCATAAGTTGTACTCAGAGGAACGCAATTTTATAAGGACTGACAGTTTAATTAAGACAAAGTTATTTCTATGTGGTGACAATTTAAACAAGAACAAGAGACTTTAAGGTGATCAGGCTTTTGATGGTCATTAATACAAAAAAAATGAGAGGTCCTGCTTTTTATAAAAGCCATGATGAGAAATTTAGAAAAACAGTATTATTATATGTGGTATAGTTAAAAAGAAATGAGAAAGAAAAGGCCCCAGAGAAAAAAATATTTTTGCACAGTGCTTCTCATCAAATTGTGTGATTTAAAAAATAAAAGAAAAAGATTTTTTACTGACTTTTTAAAGACAGAGGGAGAGGGAGATGGAGAGGGAGAGGGAGAGGGAGAGAGAGGGAAACATCAATGTGAAAGAGAAACATTGATCAGCTGCTTCTTGCACACCCCCTATTGGGGATGGAAGCCTGAGAAACCCATGCATGTGCCCTGACCAGGAATCAAAGTGACAACCTTTTGGTTAACTGGACAATGCCCAACCAAATGAACCACACCGGCCAGGGCAAATCTCGTGATGTTTATACCTTTAAAATCAACAGGATTATTTTATCTTTTGGCCTCCAGATGGAATTGTAGAAAATACTTACCAAGAAAACAGTTCCAAAAGTGCTTCCTCTTAAGTCTTTGGTACTATTTGGTAATTTTGATAGTTATCAATCCATTAAATACGTTAACATAAGTGTATCAACAAAAGTGCAACAAGAAGTACAAATGTTTAGAAAACGACAATTGAAGATTTGTGATCTCACAGAAACAGAATTCTAAAATTTTACTTGTGTTTCTGTGGCTAAGATATCAATATTGACCATAAGAACATCATCTCTAACTAGATTTATATTAAAGGAATATTACATAAAGCATCCCTTTTTAATGATTAGAATAACTGTTCTATATATTTTTTAAAGAGGCAAGTTTCAATGTGAAAAAAGAATAATTTTGAGTTTCATAAAGTTATACTCTTTGTGCCTTTTGATTCAACGAGGGTTACCAGCTAGAATTTAATGTCAGTTACAGAATGTTAAGGATTCTTATTTAAGTAAACAGTTAATTTTCTTCCTGCAGCAATTTCTCTATTTCCTTATCCCAGTTTTCATCTCGTTTCTCTGATTCTGTCACCACTTCATATTCTTGAAGTTCCTGCTGTAGTTCTTTTTCCCAATCTGTAGAATCATCTAAAAGAAACAGATGAGAAGGAAAAGATTCTCTCTGAATTTATCATGCTGGCTTCAACAATTCAGTCAACTATAATTACCTGTGTAAGTCCTAGCCATGATCATTTTGATTATCTTAGGCTTCCTTACCATGTGTGCTCAGAAAAATTGAGCAAATTTTAACAGTAACCAAGAGAAATGATTAAAAGATAAATTTGTTAATTGTAGAACCAAAGGTATCAGATGTTGTCAGTAGATGTGGGGTATTATTTCGCTTTACCTAGACCTCTGCTTTTCCTTCAATTTAACTGGATAATTGATAATTAATATTTGGTTGCAAATTAATTTTTACCATTAACAATGATGATAATGATAGCAAAGACAGCGAACATTTCTTGAGCACTTACTAAGTTAGGCACTGCACCAACCATTCTCTACCTATCGCTTTTTTTCTTCCTTAGAATAATCCATTGACTAGATCAGGGGTCCTCAAACTCTTTAAACAGGGGGCCAGTTCACTGTCCCTCAGACCATTGGAGGGCCGGACTATAGTTTAAAAAAAACCTATGAACAAATTCCTATGCACACTGCACATATCTTATTTTGAAGTAAAAAAACAAAACGGGCCCCAACTGGTTTGGCTCAGTGGATGGAGCGTCAGCCTGCGGACTGAAGGGTCCCAGGTTCGATTCCAGTCAAGGGCATGTACCTTGGTTGCGGGCACATCCCCAGTGGGGAGTGTGCAGGAGGCAGCTGAATTGGTGTCTCTCTCTCATCAATGTTTCTAACTCTCTATCCCTCTCCCTTCCTCTCTGTAAAAAATCAATAAAATATATTAAAAAAAACACACCAAAAAACAAAAAAAAAAACACAAAAAAACAAAACGGGAACAAATACAATATTTGTATTTGCATGTGGCCCGCGGGCCGTAGTTTGAGGACCCCTGGACTAGATACCACTGTTATGTACATTTTACAGATGGGGAAATGGAGGCTGAGAGAGGTTAAGGGACTTGCCCAAGATCACACAGCTTGACAGCGAGACATACATATGGAACCAGATTTGCAGGTTCCACAGCCTGTGCTTAACCACTTTAGCAGTAGTCTCCCTAGAACAGGGGTGGGGTACATAAGGCCCACAAAATCATTTTGTCTGGCCCTGCCAAGACAACTGCTGGTAGGACTCGAAATTCAATAAATCTAGGAGCTTTTTTCATAACAACATAAATTTATAAAGTGAATTATTTTAAGTGAACGATGTTATAAATATCCAAATGGCCCTTGGCAGAAAAAAGGTTCCTCACTCCTGCTCGAGAGTGACAAGAAGTCAGGCGGTCTCTTGCTGAAGCCTGGCCCCTCATGTGGGCTCCATCTGAGCTCTCACACTTGTCTTCCATGTTGAGATTTAGAGCTGCAACTTTCCACTTGAACACTCAATATACCTGTGTGTGTATGTATGCAAAGAACAAAGCATCTGCAGTGTAGTGTTATAAAATGGTGAGAAAACAAAACAAACCAGCTATTTAAAAACTAAAGCTTTTGCCGTAGCTGGTTTGGCTCAGTGGATGGAGCGTTGGCCTGCGGACTGAAGGGTCCGGGGTTCGATTCCGGTCAGGGGCATGTACCTTGGTTGCGGGCACATCTCCAGTAGGGAATGTGCAGGAGGCAGCTGATCGATGTTTCTCTCTCATCGATGTTTCTAACTCTCTCTCCCCCTTCCTCTCTGTAAAAAAATCAATAAAATATATTTAAAAAAAAAAAACAACAACAACAACAAAAAAAACTAAAGCTTTTAAAAATAAGCAAACTTAATAGCAATAGAGAAAATAATAACCAAATGTTTTAATTTTTTTGCAGCAGTGACCTTAAGGGAAAATAAGTGTGTTGCGTAACAACCAATCAATCCCAGAAATGTTTACTAATTGCTTACTGGGGGCCAGGCTCCATGTTAGGTACTGTAGGAGACAAGCAGTCAAGATGTAACGGCCCTTGAGGAACTTACAATTTAGCTGGAGAGCCAAGACAACTACTATAGAAAAGAACATTAAGTGGCCCAAATTACAAGTAGGGCAGGGATTCAGAGAAAGAACAGCTCTCTGGAACAGCCAGGAGCTAGCCTTTGGGAGGCGGGCCAGTTTTTTGACCGGTGTTTTCTGCACAACCTATAGGAACAGCCAACTCCGTAAATTGTAAGTCTCAGAAGGCTTCAAGAAACACTCTTCATCCAATGATGAGCCCAGGCCTTTTTTTTTTTTTAAGATTTTTAGTTGATTTTTACAGAGAGAGGAAGGGAGAGGGAGAGAGATAAACATCGATGAAAAGGGAAACATTGATAGGCTGCCTCCTGTACACCCCCATTGGGGATCTAGCTCACAACCCAGGCATGTGCCCTGACCAGGAATCAAACTGGCAGCCTCTTGGTGCATGGGTCGTCACTCAACCACTTAGCCACACCGACAGGCAGCCTTTGCTTTTTATCTAGTAGAAAGCCAGTAATTTGTTCTGATATGTCAAAGAAAGCAACCCCCTGCTTGCACTTTTTTTCTAAATTACTTTAGTATTTTAGAGGCAGCCTGCTTCTTCCCAGAAGCAATGCTTTTGTGGCACACAGCAGCTAGTAAAAGAAGCCTCTAGATACAAGCATAAACCTAAGGAGGATGCCTGCTTTTAAAGCAGAGCGCCAGAGGGCAACGTCTTTACATGAAAGGTGTACTTGCTTTCTTCTCTAATCCTGGCCACTTGTCCTTGGGCTGAGAGGCCTGGGATGCATCACTGGGCCTCAGTTTCTCCTCTCTATGCTTCTGTGCATGTTTAGAGCACAGGGGCATGAGATCTGGTCATTCGTGCTAGAATCCTTTTAGTGAAGAGAGAAAGAATTCTAATGCAAAAGTTATATCATATTTTTGTACACCTGCTTCATAATAACGACCTACAATAAACATCAGAATTGGGGAACAGAACAGTTATTTTGTTTTGTACCTTCTAATACGGTTGTCTCCTCCTGCTTTTTGTCAAGCACCAGTTGCTCCATTTCCTTCCTCAGATCCTCCTGATCTAAGTTACAGGCATCGAAGGCGTCACTGACAAACTCAGAAACGCCTGGGCTGGTAGAGATCTCCTCTTCATCCTAAAATGCAACAAATAAGCTCTGGAAACAGTTTTCTAAGCGACCTTTATAGGCTAGACCTCTTGTTCATGGTCACCTCACAGTTTAATACAATATCATTTTCGTTTCCTCCCTCTGCTAATCCAATAATCACTGCTCTCCAACCTTTTAACCTGCACAGTTGATTGGTAACGAAACAAGTTACAACCTGAATCTCTTGTGTTCATTCACAGTTTGGATCACTCCAATCATTCTGTCCAATCCCCGATGAGCACACCTAGAATGATTTATGCCAGGGAATCGCCTCAAGTCTGAGCTGTAGGTCCTTAACTATACAAGTACTGGACCCCTCTTCTTCAGATAAGACCTGTATTCATAAGTCATTTGAAATGGTATCTCAGATAGTTAACACAGTGACTTCATTTCCAGACATCAACTACTAGGTACAATGTAAAACTGTATTACCTCTTGAGTTTTAAGCTGAGATTTGATTACGACAGGTGGCGTTTTGGGCCGTACTGCCTCTAAGAAGTGAGAATAAAAGAGACAATAATTGCTTGATTCAATTCTGAATACACATAATAATGACAACTAAAAAGTCAACAAGTTTAATGATACTAGATAATTTACAGAAATGAACTTTTAAAGTTATGTTTTCACTTTTTACATTATTATAAGAAATAGCCAGGTGAAACCATCTCAACCTCTTTCTTTTGGGGATTTCTTAAAAATGTCATCATATTCGATGCCCCTTATACAAGACTGTCAGCAGGAAATAAATTTTTTTACTTCAGTGTTAGCAAAATCCATCGAAGAATAGTTCTGCTCTTTCTTTTAGGATAACGAGAATTAAGTTATTTACCAAGTTTTACTCTTGTCACAAATGCTGGAAAGTTCAAAGTAAAGTGCAATGCTCAATTACAGCTTCTCCTTTTCTCATGGCTACATTTTGCTATCTTATAAACCTTACTAGATAATACAGTCTTTAATGAGCCCTGTCTTACGCCCTTTTTGTTACAAGGGCAGTATTTGATAAAATTGCATTTTCTAAAAAAGTTAATAAAAGGAAATACAAAAGAATGATAGGCACTTGGATTCATATACACATCTATATATAAAATGCCAAATTTCACTGTGCAGAGCAATTTCATTACATAAGTGGTCTGAACAACCCGACCCTTAAGACACACCACTATGCATAATTATTTAAAATTCCATGAATGGAAAAGTCTCCAGTTGTAAATAGTACCTATACAATGCAGATAGTCATGAAATGTTAAAAATAGCCGAAACCGGTTTGGCTCAGTGGATAGAGCGTCGGCCTGCGGACTGAAGGGTCCCAGGTTCGATTCCGGTCAAGGGCATGTACTTGGGTTACGGGCACATCCCCAGTGGGAGATGTGCAGGAGGCAGCTGATCGATGTTTCTCTCTCATTGATGTTTCTAACTCTCTATCTCTCTCCCTTCCTCTCTGTAAAAAATCAATAAAATATATAAAAAAAAAAAAGAAATGTTAAAAATATAACAAAATAGCCTAGCTAGTGTGGGTCAGTGGTTGAGCACTGACCCATGAACCAAGAAGTCACTGGTTCAATTCCTGGTCAGGGCACATGCCTGGGTTTTGGTCTTGATCTCCAGTACAGGGTGTGCAGGAGGCAGCCAATCAATGATTATCTCTCTTCATTGATGTTTCCCTCTCTCTCTCCCTCTCCCTTCCTCTCTCTGAAATTAATACAAACGTATTCAAAAACAGAACAAAACAAAACCTGAAGAAAGAAAAAGATAGCAAAGTAAAGGAAAGCTTGGTGAAGACTTGTGAGTTGGGTCAGAGAGAGCATTATCTTCTGGAAAGAAGAGTTTTCCTTTAGATAATGATGACATTTCTGGTACATACAAGATGACAAGCTCATGAGGGTCTCTACATCAAGAACATTTTAAAAGTAACTCTCCTTTTCACGGCGAGTTCTCTGTATATACCTGTCAGTGGCAACGCATCATCTCTGCCATGGCTCTTCTCTTTTTCGGCAGCCTGCTGCTGGGCGGCCAGAGCAGTGAGCTGGGCTGACTGCTTAATCAGGGACACACGGTAAAAGTAGTTCCTCCAAAACACTTCTTCCTTCACGCTTTTAAAGACAAACAACAACACATTTGAGCATGCAGGCACACAGATTCATGCAGGAGTTATTTGTTGCATGGACACTGGAGCATATGATTTTTAGGGGCATTTGCAAATCCAAGAAAGGCTCCAAGAAGTTCTTATTTGCTTTTTTTGTTTGTTAATATATTTTTATTGATTTCAGAGAGGAAGGGAGAGGGAGAGAGAGATAGAAATATGAATGATGAGAGAGAATCATTGATTGGCTGCCTCCTACATGCCCCCTACTGGGAATCGAGCCTGAAACTTGAGCATGTGCCCCGGCCAGGAATTGAACCATGACCTCCTGGTTCATAGGTTGATGCTCAACCACTGAGCCACCACAGCTGGGCTTATTTGCTTTCGAAATGAAAGCTGAATAACAGGGTAAAAGAAAATTTTTAGATATTTTAATGATACCAAATTGCCTTCAGCAAAAGAAGACTGGGTGCTGCTGTGAAAGCAGCATGATCACCTGAGAGACTGGAAACAGAGCCAGGACCCCACCAATTATTTGCCGTTTACTGAAGAAATAAGAGCTTCCAAGCAGTGAAAAGAAAAGATTGTGGGTGTTGTTCCTTATGAAAGGAAATGTTTGGTAGCTTGCAAATAACTAGCAATCTGTAGGAGTCAGCATTGAGGTGGGAATGGTTGATAATGCAACATGTGAATCTGAACTGGATCCTTTCGCTAAAAAAGATATTCTTGGGACATATGGTAAAACCAGAATAGGGTCTGAGAATTAAGAGAGTAAAAACCCGGAAGTGACATTTCCTGATTTGGGTGGTTACATAGTGGTTATGCAGAAAAATCCTTGTTTGTAGAAAATACATACTAAAGTAATCATGAATGATGGAGCATCAGAATGACTTAGAAAAATGACAAAGAAAAAGTTCTTTAGACTGTACTTCTCACCTTTCTATAAATTTGCTGATTGTTTCAAGATAAACACTGATGACTATGCTCACCTCAGAGCAATTAAATAAAAACATCTTTTAAACAAAAGACTCAACAAAAACACAGAATGTACCCCACCCCCCCCCCCCCCCACCCTGCCCAAATCCCCAAACCAAGGACAGCCAAGGAACAGCTTTGGTGACTTGCGGGATATGTGTGGTGTTTTGTGTTCTTGTTTTTTTTGTTTTGCCTGGAGGAGTTGTTTATGTTCTAAAAATGCTTTGCTAGTAAAAATGACAAGAGTTTACCTCCTGCTTTATTAGAAGGTTCTTAGAATGGGGGGAAATCAAGGAAGAAAGTATGACAGAAAAACTTGGAAAGAAGAAAATCAGTGAGAACTAAGAAAACACTGAGGACCAGGCTTGTGAATGAGGACAGGGCTTGCCTTAGAAAGGATATCAGAACACAGGGTGATCATGTCTGTAAATGGCCAAACTGGGCCAGGAAGCTAGCTTTTAAAGTGCCACAGGCAAAATGAAAGATTATTTCCACAAACTAGGCCAGGTAACAAGCTGACATGATGCTAGATACAGCCATCTTTTCTTTCATTAATCCCACCAACATTTACTGAGCGCACATGCACTAGGCCCCGTGCTAGGTGCTGGGAGGCAGGTTAAGGGATGGCTAAGTCAACACAGATGGTCACAGCTATAATGACCTCTTAGTTGCTCAGTTCTCATCAAGTGCCAAGAAGCATTTCCCAAACTCATGTGGCCTCAGAAGTCTCTTTTTCTTATAGCACCTCTTGGAAGTAATTTGGCAGGAGGGAGACTTAGTTTAACAGCAGTTAGTAAGGACTTCTAGCTGACTACAAGTTTAGCCTAGAAATATCAGTATGCTACAGCTGCTGGAAGAGCTAATGAAATCTTAGGCTGCATTAAAAAGCACACAAGATTCACTACAGTGTGCTCTTCTGCAATCAGACAACACACCATATCCACTTCGGAAAACCTGCTTTCAGAAGGTAATCACTGGGAAAGTGAGGGGTACATAGATACCTGGGGAACAAATGCAGAACCTAGGGCGTTTACCCGAGTAAATTCAGGGGCCTTAAATCAAAACATCACAGCCATACAAAAGTGAGATTAACTTTCCCATGAGGTAGTGAGTGGCCTGAATATTTTCAAGGTCACTTTTTGTTGCTGTTAATCCTCACCAGAGCTTATTTTTTCCATTGATTTTTTAGAGATAATGTAAGGGAGGGGGAGAGACAAAGAGAGAGACATCAATGTGAGAGACACATTGACTGGTTGCCTCCCACACTCGCCCCGACCCGGGGCCAGGGGTCAAGCTTATGACCAAGATATATGCCCTTGATGGCAATTGAACCCAAGACCCTTCAGTCCACAGGTCGACGCTCTAATCACTGAACACCCGGCTAGTGCTCAAGGTCACTTTTAATTCTGAACTCTATGAAATGTCCAAAATGAACAGTGTACTATCTACAGTGGATCATTGGCAATGTTTGCTCTCTTAATAAAAACAAATATCTGGCCCTGGCCAATGTGGCTCAGTTAGCTGTGCATTGTCCCATGCACCAAGGGGTCACCAGTTTGATTCCTGGTTGGGGCACATGCCTGGGTTGGGGGCTTGATCCCCAGTAGGGAGGTGTGTAGGAGGTAGCTGATCGATGTTTCTCTCCCCCCTCCCTGTTGGAGTCCATTCATTGTCTTCACTAGCTGAGTTTAAACAGAGACCCCCAAAAGCTAGTAACCTTTGAAGTCCTAGCAAAGGTCAGAACTGCACCACCCAGTTAATCTAGGAACCACCCAGTTAATTTAGGTAATAACAGCTGAAGCATCTTCACCTTAGTTCCCTTAATTCCCATTTATTATTATGTAAATCCTTGCTGATGGGCTAGTCTGCCTGTTAATGGGGTCACCTGCCTAAGGGCTATGCTATGAGTGCATCCCAGATCAATAAAAGCTTGGTGAGACCTAAGCACAGGGAGGAAGTCCTTCGGGACTTGCCCGCCTGGTCCCCCAATATTGCAAAATTATCTCGTGTCTTTTTCTTTCATTTGTTGTGCGGCTCCACTTTCAGATACCGAACCCTACTCCACGCAGAACGTGGAGGGAGTGTTACTCGACACCTCCCCACTTCCCCTTCCTCTCTCTAAAATCAATAAAAATATATTTAAAACAAACAAACACACACACACAAACATCTGGATTATTTTCTTTTCCTAGAGTCCTCTCCCTCTTTTTTTTTAAAATATATTTTTATTGATTTCAGAGAAGGGAGAGGGAGAGAAACATCAATGATGAGAGAGAACCATTGATTGGCTGCCTCCTGCACTCCCCCTACAGGGAATCGAGCCCTCAACCCTGGGCATGTGCCCTTGAGCGGAATCGAACCTGGGACCCTTTGGTCCGCAGGCCGACGCTCTATCCACTGAGCAAAACCAGCTAGGGCAGTCCTCTCCCACTTGATGTAAGAAGTAGTCACAGGCACACCGCAGAAATATTTGGTTACCCTCTGATGGGAGTCACAATGCAGATGACATATAGTAAAGGTTCTAAGAAGCCTTACAATAAAAATCCATCCAATGTAGGAACTCCCAAACATTTACTTGATCACTTATGCTCCAAGGACTATTTTAAGGCATCAGTATGCTGTGAACAGCCTCTAGGAAACAATGGGCATACGTACAAGTCTATGTCCCAGGAAAGGATTGTGATTTCCCTACTGTCACCAGAGTAAAGGCCTCAGAGGGTGCCTTTGACGCACCAACAAGGCCCTGTCTCTTGCCAGCACTGCCATCATAGGGAAGTGCTAATAAACTAAAAAGCATTTTGCAATACAGAGAATATGTTTGTTTTCTCTTCTAAATTGTTCCTGCTTAGTGATGGCTTCTGCTCAGAAAAAGTGTCTCAAATGATCAAAGTTGCATTTCTGCATGTCAGAAGGAAAGCGCCTTATTTATGTGTGATGGCTTATTTTTGTTTTGTTTTATTATGGAAATTTCAACCAAAGTGGAGAGGCTAGAAAAAAGAACGCCACGTACCCGGGACCTAACTTTAAGAAATACTACCATTGCCCTGGCTGGTTTGGCTCTGTGGATAGAGCATTGGCTTGCGGACTGAAGGGTCCTGGGTTCAATACCCGTCAAGGGAACATGCCTGGGTTGTAAGCTCGATCCCCAGTAGAGGGTGTGCAGGAGGCAGCCAATTGATTATTCTCTCTCATCACTGATGTTTCTATCTCTCTCTTCCTCTCTGAAACCAATAAAAATATATTTAAAAAAATAAAAGAAGAAAAGAAATGCCACCATTCTGCAAGTCATGTTTCATCTATGCCTCCTCCCCTGCACACAACACTTTTCTTTGGGAGGAGGTTGGAACATTTTAAGGCAATGACAGATATCAGATCCTTTCATCTATAAATACTTCAGTAAGCATTTCTAACTAATAAAGACTTATAAAATCAACCCTAATTTCTAAAAGCATCCCTAACAGAATTAGCAGTAGGAAAGTAGAATTATATTACTCAACTAGAGGCCTGGTGCACGACATTCGTGCACTGGGGGATGTCGGGGTCCCTCAGCCTGACCTGCACCCTCTCCAATCTGGGAGCCCTCAGGGGAGCCCTCTCCAATTGGGAGTTTCTGTCTGTCTTTGCAATCATATGAGCGAATTGTCTGAGACCCCAACTCAGTTTGGTTTGTTGCTCAAAGAATAACAGAGGAATTTTTTTTTTCTTTGCTTCATTGGTGGAGATTTCCTGGAAGTTTTAGGATATCTTCCCTTTAATTTTTCCTAGACACTCTGATTTTACTTATGTCTCTCACCTTTGCTTTCCCTCCATCCCCCACCGCAACAGTAACTTGCTCCAGGCTCACTTTGCTCTAGTGCAGGGGTGGGCAAACTTTTTGACTCGAGGGCCACAATGGGTTCTTAAACTGGACCGGAGGGCCGGAACAAAAGCATGGATGGAGTGTTTGTGTGAACTAATATAAATTCAAAGTAAACATCATTACATAAAAGGGTACGGTCTTTTTTTTTTTAGTTTTATTCATTTCAAACGGGCGGATCCGGCCCGCGGGCTGTAGTTTGCCCACGGCTGCTCTAGTGTCTAGGAGAGCCGTCGTCTGCCGAGGGGACAGTGCCTTTGGGCAGAGGAAAAGCCTCAGGTGGGAAAGAGGACAAGAACACTGCTGCCCGGGAGCAGAGCGGAGCGCAGGGAAGGCAGCAGCTGGTCCTGATGGGCCTCACAGACATTAACTTAAATGCACTCTACCTTTTAAGCAGGGAGGAAACAGCACATCTCACCCCCACCCCAAATTTCCTAAAAGTCCACTCTTCATTTTGATTCTATGGCACCCTGTGTGTGTGTGTGTGTGTGTGTGTGAGAGAGAGAGAGAGAGAGAGAGAGAGAGAGAGAGAGAGAGAGTGTGTGTGTGTGTGTGTGTGTGTGTGTGTGTATGGTTCTGAAGGGCCATAGAGCCCATTTTTATGAAAAGAGTCTGAGACTTTCCTGGCCCCCATTCCATAATTCTTCCCTGATACTGTGCACACCACCGAGGCCATTAGAAAACCCAAATACAGCCCAGCCAGCATGGCTCAGGTGGTTGAGCATCAACCTATGAAACCAGGAGGTCACGATTTGATTCCCGGTCAGGGCACATGACCAGGTTGTGGGCTCGATCCCCAGTAGGGGACATACAAGAGGCAGCCTATCAATGATTTTCTCTCATCATTCATGTTTCTATCTCTCTCTCCCTTTCCTTTCCTCTCTGAAATCAATAAAAATATATTTTTTACAAAAGAAAGAAAACGCAAATACACGTTTCGTGAGCAGCACCACGCAGGCTCGCAAACACAGTGCTTACAGTTTAGGAACAAGGGCGAATCTCATCCTGCTCAGCAGTTCATCCTCTTGGAGCATGACCAGGGCAACAGGGTACATCTGATCAAAGTCAAAATGAAACTGCACGCCAATTGGAGGGTCACGAAGGAAGTTCCTCTTGTCCTTTGATGAAAAGGGGAAAAACCACAGAACACAATTAATATGTACCAATGCATGACTGATTTGATGAATATTGAATTCTCCTAAAGACTTCACTGCAGAGTCCACTGAGCTATTGTTAACCTGTCCACTTCAGAGAGAGCAGAGAAAGACCAATCCTTTCATATATTTTTAAGTCTCAACTGGAGAGCCTTGAGGAAATTCAATTATGCAATTAGTTAAAATTATATAGTTTGAAATCATATGAACACGTTTGTTTTAGTGGGCACTGTTAGGTATGTGAAAAATAGTGTAGATAATCTTAGAAACATTCTAACCCAAAATTGAAGTCAGCTAACCATGGTGGTCATATCAGAAAAGCAAGTCTGGCTGGCGTGGCTCAGTAGTTGACCTATGAACCAGGAGGTCACGGTTTGATTCCCAGTCAGGGCATATACTCAGGTTGCAGTCATACAAACATTTTGTCATGAGTGTATTAAAATTGGAGTCTCATTAAAAAGAAATTTAACCCAAGACTGTATTAAAGAAAGCACCTCCTTCACAGAAGATCCTCATATGGCCTATGACCCACAGTCAGCACATAACATGGAACTCCAACAGGACACTACTGTGACTCTCCAATGCACCCGGGCCACTACATCCAACCTGGAAGAGCTGTGACATTCATGTCTCTCTTTAGTTAGCCACTTCTCATTAGCCAAGAAAGAAACGAAAGGAAAAATACAAAGGCAAAGCTTCCCTGGATAGGGCACATTTCCTAGGGTATGAGGGTGGCTTGGAATTCCTCTGACATGGCCCATGACCCTGCTGATTAGTGTATAAAGTGATGTCTCCAAATCTCCCCCTTTCCTATAGACTGAGCATTAATAACTAAGGCAAAAAACTGCTGCTGGAGCCCAGTCAGCATGGCTCAGTGGTTGAACATTGACCTATAAACCAGGATATCCCAGTTCGATTCCCAGTCAGGGCACATGTCCAGGTTGCAGATTGATCCCCAGTGGGAGACGTACAGGAGGCAACTGATCAATGATTCTCTCTCATCATTGATGTTTCTATCTCTCCCTTTCCCTTCCTCTCTGAAATCAATAAAGATATATTAAAATAATAATAATCCTAATATATAAAAACCCTGGGTCCATCACAACCAGAGGCTCGACTAACCAGAAGTCAGTCCTGCAGTCTGTGCTGGGTTGCCATGGTGACCCAGCACTGACTGCTGCAGCTGCAGGCGTGGTGACCCAGCACTGACTGCTGAGGGGGCTGTGAATCAGGCCCGGATAGAGGCCTGAAGAGAGAAGCAGGGTCTGATCCGTAGCCTCTGTGGCAGCTGTTGATCAGCACTTGCCTCTTTCTTTCTCTCCAGCAGCCACGCCTCCATTTCTCTTCAGGCCTCCACCTGGGCTGCTGATCAGCCCCGCCTTTCTGATCAGGCCCCGTTGATAGGCCCAGAGACGCTGACTGGCATAGAAACCAATCAATCAGAACCAAATCTGGGTGAAGTGTGAGGAGCCAATGTCTGCCTAGGAGGCGGAGCTTTTGACACTGACTGGCATAGAAACTGACCAATCAGAACCAAATTGGCCAGCAGAGGAGGGTGTTTGGGGGTGATCAGGCTGGCAGGCAGAAGCGGTTAGGGGCAATCAGGCAGGCAGGCAGGCGAATGGTTAGGAGCAAGCAGTCCCGGACTGTGAGAGGGATGTCGACTGCCGGTTTAGGCCTGAGGTGTCCCAGATTGGAGAGGGTGCAGGCTGGGCGAGGGACACCCCCCCCGCCCAGTTCATGCATTTCGTGCACCGGGCTTCTAGTCCTATATAATAAAAGGCTAATATGCGAATCAATTAAAGGGCGGAATAACCGGTTGCTATGATACGTACTGACCACCAGGGGGCAGACACTCAATGCAGGAGCTACCCTCTTGGTGGTCAGTGCACTCCCACAGGGGGAGTGCTGCTCAGCCAGAAGCCAGGCTCATGGCTGGCAAGCTCAGCAGCGATGGCTGGAGCCTCTCCCGCCTCCGCAGCAATGTCCAACTGCCGGTGGGGAGCGGGCCTAAGCCGTCAGTCAGACATCCCGAGGGCTCCCAGACTGTGAGAGGGTGCAGGCCGGGCTGAGGGACCCAACCCCTCGAGTTCATGAATTTCGTGCACTGGGCCTCTAGTAATAATAAAAAAAAAGCTGGTATTGGGAACTACTCAAACCATTAAGATGGACTGTTTCTACTCTATTTCTTGTTTTAAGAAATACCTCTTTTGTTTGTAAATATGATACATACCTGTTTTTAAAAAATTCAAAAAATGAAAGAAAAGCATAGAGTCAAAACTCCCACCATCCATGGACAACCCATGAACATCCTCTTGGCCATGTCTCTCTGCATACATACAGTATCTGTGCAATTATAATTTGACCGAAATAGAAAGACATGCTGCATGCTGCGGGCGGATCACTTGTTTTCCCTTTACCCTCTGCGTCACGAACATCTTCCCATCTCCAAAACAGCTATGTCTACATGGAATGAGCCATAATTTACTCAACCAGGCCCATTTTGGTAGTCAACACATTGTTTCTAATCTTTTCTGATAAAGATTCTCATCTAAAGTGATCTCTTCAAACTAAATTCCTAGAAGTGGGATTTCTGGTCCAAGAGTAGGATTATTTTGATACATATTGCCCAAACTTTCCTCTAGAAAGATCTAAACAGTTTGTTACTACTAAACGCACCAGTTTCATCTCATCTTGCTCATGCTGGATTTTTAAAATATTTTTGGTTTTTGAAAATTCCTCATTAATAAAGCAAGAACCTGAGCCTAAATGGATTTTAGTTATTTTACATTCCAATGTAAACATTTCTAAGCCTGAAACTGCCCCCAATGTTTCACCAAGATTTCTATAGCAGCCTCTTAATGGGCCTGGTTGTCCACTGGAAAGAAACCGTGGCTAGAGTGCTGGCAATCAACGCAGTGGGGCGTGAGGGAGGAGAGGCTTACGTGTAAAGCTCAGGCCTTAGAAGCTGCAGAGGGAGTTTAGATCTTAATCTATGAGAGGTGAGATGCCATTAGAAGGGTCTATGTAGGGAAGTGACACCAAGTGATTCATGCAAT